GGGCCCGCCCCTGCTCCCGTGGCCTCTGTGCCTTGCTGCCTAGCGTCAAACCTGCAGGCGGGTTATTACCGTGGTAGCAGATGTGTGAGCCCTCAGTTCAGTGGCCCCCAAATAAATAAGGAGGCAGGTGGTGGAAAGAGCGCCTAGGTTCAAATCCCAGCAGAGCAAGAGCCACCTACTAGGTTTGGGCAGGTCTCTTGACCTCTTGATTCGTCAGGGTCCACGTGACTGCTAAGGCATCTTCTACTGCACTCTGATTTGTGGGGTCCTAGGAGAGGAATTACCTAGCCAAGACTGGATTCTCTTACAGAGAGGGTGCTGTTTCTCTGTAAGCAGCTGGGACTCAGGAGAGCAGGACCCTGAGCAACCGCGTCCCTAGAGGAGTTCATAGTCCACACATGCACACACATAAATGCACACACACACACCCAGCACGTCTCCTAGAGGCATTTATAGTCCAACATTCCCCTCACACACACACACAAACACACACACTCACACACACCCAGCAAGTCTCCTAGAGGAATTTATTTTCCAACATCCCCCTCACACACGCGTACACACACACACACACACACACAAACACACACACTCACACACACCTAGCAAGTCTCCTAGAGGAATTCATTTTCCAACATCCCCCTCACACACACGCGTACACACACACACACAAAAACACACACACTCACACACACCTAGCAAGTCTCCTAGAGGAATTCATTTTCCAACATCCCCCTCACACACACGCGTACACACACACACACAAAAACACACACACTCACACACACCTAGCAAGTCTCCTAGAGGAATTCATTTTCCAACATCCCCCTCACACACACGCGTACACACACACACACAAAAACACACACACTCACACACACCTAGCAAGTCTCCTAGAGGAATTCATTTTCCAACATCCCCCTCACACACACGCGTACACACACACACACAAAAACACACACACTCACACACACCTAGCAAGTCTCCTAGAGGAATTCATTTTCCAACATCCCCCTCACACACACGTGTACACACACACACACACACACAAACACACACACTCACACACACCCAGCAAGTCTCCTAGAGGAATTCATTTTCCAACATCCCCCTCACACATGCACACACACACACACACACACACAGCCAGCAAGTCTCCTAGAGGAATTCATTTTCCAACATCCCCCTCACACACACACACACACACACACACACCCAGCAAGTCTCCTAGAGCAATTCCTCTCCCACAAACACACACACACACACACACACCCAGCAAGTCTCCTAGAGGAATTCATTTTCCAACATCCCCCTCACACACACACACATCCAGCAAGTCTCCTAGAGGCATTCATAGTCCAACATTCCCCTCACACACACTCACACACACCTAGCAAGTCTCCTAGAGGAATTCATTTTCCAACATCCCCCTCACACACGCACACACACACACACACACACACACTCACACACACCCAGCAAGTCTCCTAGAGGAATTCATAGCCCAACACCCCCCCACACACACACACACAGACACACACACCCAGCAAATGTTTCTTGCATCTAATAAGTCAGTAAACCAGTGGTTTGCAAAGGACCGGTGGTGTTAATGTATAATTTTCAAAAAGATGAAACCTACGTGAGGAGAATTCGAAGGACTTGTGAGTGGGCAATGAGAGATACTGAAACTGATCTTCTAATTATGCAAGATTGGTTGATAGCCTGTAGGACTAGAAAAGCCATCTTTTCCTACAGGGCCGAAATCAGTTGTGCTTCTACTAAACAATGTCCGTACCCTACCTCTTAGATCCTTCCTATTCTCTCAGAGCTGGATCGATCGCTAGTCAATGGGAAGGCGAGCAAAATGACACGCCCCTTTAGAATCAGATAACCCCCAACCAGCAGCACCAAGGAGAACAGTTGTCTCATTTACATGTGTCCAAGGCTAACAAAGTTTTGTGACAGTTCAAAAATCCAAATACCTTGTTACTCAAAGTGTGGTCTCCAGACCAGCATCAGTCAGACTGTTTTCTGTTTGTTTTAATTTGCCAAAGACAGAGAGAGGGGAAGGAAGAGGGAGAAAACAGCCCCGAGTGGAGCTGGTGGCACTGCAATCCATCTCCTCCATTTCTCAGCCTATCAGGATTTGGGCACACACACAGTGATGCCTGGCATGGTTTTCAAGCCACCGGGGCTAGGATTCAAATACAGTCAACTGTCTGGGTCAGGTGGCAAGCCTGTAAGAGGTTGGTGCTCAAAACTGAGTCTCAGTCTGCTGAAGCGTGCCCTTTCCGAACTGCAGGGAGATCAGGAGGAGCTTGGAACTTCCAGCCGATGCTCTCATGTGGAAGAGGAGGACTCCGAGGCCCTGAGATCGGAACTGGCTTCCCTACTCCGTCGTTTATGGCACGGCCAGGACTCCAGCCCGTCTCCTGACCCCTCCACCCTCAACACCAGACCGATGCCTTAGAAGCCCCGACTGCTAAAGAAACCTGCCCCACCTCGTCATGCAAGCTCCAGGTACACCAGGCTGTGTCCAAGCGTAACCGGAGGGCCCCCTTCTCCAGTTTCCCAAACACAGCTCTCCCCTTACGAGAGAATTAAAGTTAACAGTGACATTTCTAGATTATTTAAAATAGACTTTTTTCTAAAAGTCACTTGCTTTACTGGAAAGTTGCTATTTTTACATCAAAGAAGGCAATAGCATGAAAGTAAACCCCTTTCACTTTTAAAGAGCTTGCCGCAGAGATACAGTATTAAATGAAAGAGACAAGTCGCTGGGCTGTGGAGGATCTTAGCCCATTTTTGATGTTTTTTAAAAAAGGAAAAGAAATAAAAGAAATACATTTGTTACTACATACATAAAAGAAGTCTAGAAAAACATGTCTTCAGCTATTTCCAGGGCTGATCTCCCGGGACAGCAGGCCTTTCTCTTCGTGGTGTTTCTGTATGTCTTTTATTTTTATAATTGCTTTGAGGACTGAATAATGACCCGCAAAGATACCCAGGCAGCTTGTATGGCCAACGAGACCCTGTGCAGGTTTTGATGGGGAGATAGCTTAGTCTGTTTTTGCTTTGCTAACAGAAAGACCTAGGACTGGTGAATTTACGAGAATGGAAGGGGATCCGACCCACAGTCCCAGAGGCCAGGAAGTCCGAAGGCAGCGCAGAATGGCAGCCGGCAGAGCTTTAAGCAGAGCAGGGTCTGCATCACATGGCTTTTTCTCTGCAGGTCAGATCTCATTCTCTCTGCTTATAAACCCACCCAAACTCACTTTTGGAGACCCCACAAGCCTAATGACATTATCACACCCAAAGGCCCTCCACCCTAGGACTCCAGGAAAGAATTGAGTTTTCCCCTAATACCAATACTATATCATACCTGTCCCCAGTGACCAAGACACAACTTGAAGGGGAGTTCACACTCAAACAATGCATGAGACCACAGCCAGTCCCGAAAGGAGAGCTTTCTTTCCCATTTCATTAAGAGTTGATGGTAGTGGGGCCTGCAGGTGGCGTGGTGGTTAAGGGTGCTGGACTCCTACATGGCCAACCATGGCTTGAGTCCCAGACCTGGTGGCTTCCTTTCTCACTTCCTCTCTCTCTTTCTCACCGTCTCTCTCTGGTCAAATTAAAAATAAATAAATAAATACAGTTAAATAAAATAATTCTTAAAAAGGAAAAAAAAAAAAAGAGTCAGTGGTAGCAAAGAGGTCAGCGCTGGACCTCACATGGCTGACCGCAGTTCAAGTCCCAGACCTGGCGGCTTGAGAATCACTCCAGACACATTTGCGTGTGTGCCCAGAGTCCCAGGTGGAGAATGGAGGAAGAGGGATTGCAGCATGGCCATGTCCCCAGGAGGGTGCATGTGTGTGTACTGAATCCCAAAACGCCCAGAGGAGAACGGAGGAGGAGGGACTGCAGTGTGGCCAGCCCCTCACTCTCTCTACCACGGCGGAGGGGGGACTGCAGCGTGGCCAGCCCCTCGCTGTGCCTCTCTCTGCCTCTGTCTGCTCCTGATGACGGCAGGTCTGCCGCTGGGCCTCAGTTTATTCACCTATAAAACGAGTAGGCTGCATTAAAATGCTCTTCGTGATCTTTTCTAACACTCACGTCTAGGATGGGGACTCTCAGACTCAAATGTGTCTAGGAGCACATTTTTAAAAAGAAAGACAGAAACCAGTGAGTAATACACCTCGTCACACTGCGGGATTCTGTTCCCCTGTTGTCTGGCCTGGTCTAGGGTGCATCCGGGGTGCTCCCTGCACTAAGTGGTCTGTGTTGTCCCCTCTGGTCAGGGGCAGCTCCCGTCCTATGTGCCTTTCAAGACCTGGGCACTTTTTTTTTTTTAAAGAAAGATTTTTGCTACAGGGCACTTGTACTTGCCAGAGAGGCAGAGAGACAAAAAACGAGAAATCACCCCACCCCACCCCACCCCCAGGGGGGATGGCCACGCCGCAATCCCTTCTCCTCCATTCTCCTCTCAGAATTTCGGGCACGCACGCACACTCAGCCTGAGTTTTAGCCGCCAGGTCCAGGACTCAAACTGCAGTTGACTACCATGGGAGTCTGTGGGAGTCCAGCGACATAAACTGTACACCATCTGCTCGGTCCAACCTGGACCCTTCTGAAAAGGCCTGGCCAGTATTGCGTGGAATGTCTCTTATTTATTTGTTTTTGTTTTTTAAGTAATTTTTTTTTTTTGGAGAGGTTTTTGCTATAGGGCACATGTGCTCGCCAGAAAGACAGAGAGAGACAGAGACAGAAAGTGAGAAATCACCCCCCCAGGGGGGGTGGCCATGCCACAATCCCTTCTCCTCCATTCTCCTCTCAGGATCTTGGGCACGCACGCACATGAGCCCAACG